TTTGCGGTTTTTTACTTTTACAACAGAAGTGCACAGCAGATTTCGTAATCTCAGCAAATCTGAATTACCACATACTCATAAGTATGCGCTGGAAATGTTTCGTTCCGAGCCTCTTTTTCAGAGATAATCAAGTATTTAACACACATGTTCACATATTTCTCAATAAATGGAGAACGTATTGTAAAACACATTTATTGGAATTGTAAAATCAGACACAACATCGTTTGTTCTAAGTTTATTAAATGGAACCTTGGCAGTAATTGCTCGAGGTAAGTATCTACCACAGATAAACATTCACTTCGGTCTAAAGTTCTTACAAAACTTCTTAAGTGATTTTGCTTATTTGATTTATTAATGAGTACTTTCTCCACTTGAGTTAATGCATTAAACAATAAAAATGATTATTTTTTTTTATTAGTATTTTAATTTTTTTTTATTCTTCAAATATTAAAATTACATAAATGATTTGGATGTAATGATGATACATGTTCATCATACAGTAAGTAATGTTATAATTATGTTGAAGCTCTTTGAGCAATGCACTGGAGCATTTTTACTCTTTCTTAACTCGAGATATTATCAAAACCCCTCTTTACGCCTGGACTGGATTATTGTTTATCACTTCATCAGACTAAGCAATAATTGACCTCAGATCTGCATACCTCCCCGAGTAGCCTGTAACCATTCTGAGATTTGATAACGCGGTGTTGGTAAATCTGTCAGTTTTCGCAAATATTTCCAGGGCTTTATTCTTTATGTATTTTTTGTTGGGATCAAACCTGAGGTCCCTAAGGATGTAATAAGCATCTGTATAGTTATTCTTCATAGATACTGCTACTTAAAATTTAGTGCTACAGCTTTATTGAGCGTCACTAGCTTTCATTTATAGGTCAGGCAAGACCATATGTCAAAAGCACTAACACTAATATTATGTATATGTTATATTTCAAGCTTTAAATTAACGCTTATACGTGAAAATAACCCAAATAACCTGCTACCAATGACATATCCAAAAGAGGGTAAGATGGGATTAAGGGATGTATACCCTACTTGACAATGTAATATATAATAAGAAAAATTTAACGAGCTAGAAAAACACTGCCACACTTTAGCTATGGATCTACCTGCTACAAAGGAACAAGCTGACTTTACTTACTTACTTAATTTGCCATAACAGATCTGAGTAAACCTTTGTCCCATCCACAGCCCTCAAATGGTTTACTAGATATATATCTGGAACTGTGTATTAAGGTAGTTAAGCAAGATAGACTTCAAAGTAAAGAGAACTTTATAAAAGTACGAAGTGAAGCCATTTATTGGCAATTATAAGCTTTGGAGATGTGTTGTCAAAATTTTATGGCATTTATACGAATATTAATGGAGTTATTGTAACTAAAATGTTAATTCTACAAATTGTATGTAGACTTTTTTGAAAACCTACTACGTCCACAAAATCTTTTCCTGTTATCGACAAATGCATATTACCGAAAAGTTGAACGTTTCATAGTACTAATTTCAATGATTATAAAATATATTGCTATAACTGTATATATATCATATATTGCATGTATTGTTATATATTGTTGTCGTTATAAACTATATAACTATATTATAATTATATTGAGTTATATTATAATTTAAGAAAATCCAAAAAATCCCTATCCCTATTTCCATCCAATTAAAAAAAAAACTGTAGAAAATATCGCGAAAACCTAAGATTTATAGGAAAATTTAAATTTAAGCACTTTAACTTACATGCAATTCGCGTGACCTATATATCTACTTGTTCTTCCTGTGATATATTTTGCAATTATTTTTAGCCATTCCAGATAAGCTGACGCCACTTTACCGTAGCAAACAACAAAGCTGCACCCGATTTATATGAATGTAGTGAACAAAATTCACAGAACTAACCAGAAATGCATACAATAGACAAAAAAAAAAGAAATAATTGGCAACACTCCTGAAAATTTGTTATTCTAAAAAGTTAACAGTTTTTCCAGTGAAATTGCATTAAAACTTTTTTCGCACTGCGCTCGTATTTCAAGTTCACGGCCAACAAAACAATAATTTTCCAATTAAAGAAAATTGCTATGATTTCCTCTTCAAGGTTTTGTTTTATGGGGATTGGGGATTTTAATTTTCGTATATCCTCTTCACTTCCTCACTTCCTATTTCGCATTTGTTGCTTTATGACTAGCCGCATTAAAACTTGATGTCTCCGTCTCCGTCTCCATTTTCATCTCCATCTCCATTACCTCCAACCATGAAATTGATTTATCGCCTTGGAACACACTTGACCGTTGCATTGAGGTTTGATATTCCTTCCAAATTGGCTTATGCGTGTACAGGACTCCTAATACGTAGTCTAGACTCTAGACTGCTGTTAAATGTTTTCACGCCATCGTAGTAGCCCTTAAAATCAACTTACACGACTTGGCAAAAGTGAGACTGGGAATTCACACATTTTGACTTTCTTTTCTTTTGTTTCTTTGACGTTTGCATGCAATGTAAAAAAGTATTGCAAAGTTTGCCATTTTTTGGCATTTTGATTGCGATTGCATAAATTGAAAGACTGTCGCGCTCATTTGTATTATTGCTTTTTTATTTCATTATTTTAAAGTTTTTAATTTGTTTAAGGTGAAAAGTAAAATGCAATTTCATTTGAAATCTTTTTCTTTTTACGAGTTTGCAAGTCGCTTTCAGATCTCTTTCACTTAACTGCACTTGATACGATGGATTCGTGCGAAGTTTGCAAGTTTCGCCATAAAATGCAACCATTCACAAGTCGTAATTTAAACGATTGTACTTGTCATTTCTATTGTTTACACACAATAACAATCCAGAGTTGTTTTCTGAATTGCATGTGTTTCTTATTAATAGTAGTAAATTTCCTGATAACAAAACTCCATGCTTCCCGTTGTTAGTTCCTTTATTTTCCATACAAATTCTTATGCATTCTCGACGTTTTGTTTGCTTTAAGAAAATTTATTTCTTTATTGCGTGTTGGTTAAAAAATGGACTAAACGTATAAAGGAATTATAACCAAAATATCCATGACAGCTTAAGAAACATAAATTTTAAGTAAAATATTAATTGCCTTTTAAAAATCTTCATGAATGATCGCAAGTTGGGGTTTCAATACTCGTAGCAAAAGTCATGCATGCGTTACAGATTAATAATTTATGTAACTCAAATTAAAACCCCAAGAAACTATTTCAAAACTTTGCCCTTTTACAACTCAAATTTATCTCTTTATTTTGTTACCAATATTTTTGCAATAAAATATTTTCATATGAAGTATTTAAATATATTTTGTATGCAGAATATATTACCCAGTGAAGTCCCGCCGTGCAGTGATTTGCAAATTTAATGCCTCGCGTGCTATGAAACCAATCCTGATCTTGTGTTCAGATTAATGGTATTTCCATAGCAAATTTAAATTTGATTGACTTATTTTCATTATAAAAATTAAATAATATCACAGTATGTGTAGAGAAATGATAAGTTTATAAAAAATTAAAGGTTGAAGAGAAACAAATTATCTTAGATTTACTTTTGACAATAGCTACAAGAGGACCTCACATGTAACTAAAAAAAGGATATGACCATTATAAGACCATTATGCTTTCCTAAGAAATGAACCATCAAGAACTTAGTCTTTATATATAAATACGTAAATATGTTCATGTGTGTAGCATTTAAGAATATCCCGAAAAAGCACTGGGGAAATTACTAAAGGCCCAATGTTAATATGAGATACAGAATCAATTAAAGAAATGGTGTAAATATACAGAACAATCAAAATCAGTGGTTTAGCCAGAATTGTACCAAAAGATAGAATATACAAGAAAATATTCGTTGGCAGTATTTTTGAAGTGTGTTTTTGTAGAAAACGTTATCTCTACCTTTATAGTCATTTAATAAGGGCCTAATTCTACACTAAGACATGTCGTTATTGAGAACACCAAAATTATTTTACAAAATAATCATAAAAATACTGTATTCAGAAGTCTAAAAATCGAGCCCCTAGAATATGTGAAGACACACGTTAAGAATATGGATCTTATCTTTGGGCAGAAAAGTAATAATACCTGAGACGATATACATATGAGACTGAATTTTTAAGATTAAGAAAATAGAGCAAGCCAATGGAATTATTAGATCCAAGAAAATTTATACAAATAATAAGAGGAAAAGTGCTAAAAATTGCTCTCTCTATATAATATATCAAAGTAATCAATTTTTTCTTGAGATAGAGTTTCTTTAAAACCTACAAGGCCACTCTTTAATTTTAAAGGTCCTTAAAAACCAAATCATCTATTAAAATCTATTGAACGTTTCTATAAAACTTTTAAAGACATTATTTTACTTCCGTAGTATTTTTTCTTATCAAAAATCATTACTTATTAGAAATTTTTTTAATCATGGGTTCTAAATTATTATGTCTTGTTACAAATTCGTAATAACTGATCGACTTATGATTAAATTGTTATCAAATGTTGTCACAAATACTCTATACAAATTTTATTTGGAAAGAAGAATTGATTTTATTTCAAAACAAGTCATCTATATTTCAGATCAAACACTGCTTTTTTCACAAGATTTTGTGAATCATAATAATAATCTTCATAACTACTAATTTATCATAAAGATAGTCACTAATAAACCATATAGTTATTTGCCCATTTAAGCTTCGTTTTCCTATTCAAGTTCATGTTTAATAGCGTTAGACGATTAATTTATAAACACTTTATGAGCAAAAATTGACTAAGTTTAATTAGCTTCTACTTACCTATCCACCAATCTATGTTCACAATAACTACTAACTATTGCGATGTCTTTAATACTCGGTGGTAGCAATATTCTACATAAATATAGTTTTTCCTTGCTATTTATCATATCCCAAATACCGTTCTGAAGCGATTGTTGTTAGCATATGTAGTGACATTGTGAATGATATCTGAATAACAAGTAAACATTTTGTCTGCGTCTAATATAAACAAATATAGACAAATATAGTCATGGTTTTCACTAGTCATGTTATACACTTCTTTACAATGTTCTACATATTAAACAATGCATAAAGAGTTCTTTTTGTTTAATTTTTAAATTTGTGAATAGCAAGCGAATGAAAGGACATCGAGCGAGTGAATGCTTGAAGCTAAAAGTGAGTGGTAATAAGAGCGAACAAGTATTAGAATATGTAAAATGAATGTTTCAAAAATATTAATTATT